CCCCAAAACCCCAAAACCCCAAAACCCCTAATCTGTAAGGCATGATTGAAATAATTAGTTGCTACCGATTCTTTTAAAGCTAGTGACTGAATAAGTCAACGAGTCAGTCTCCTTAACATAGTTGACAGTGCTCACGTCAAATATGCCCTTGATCATGTCTATGATTGGAATACTGTTACTCTCCCTCTGATCGAGGTCTCTGATGAAACTCTGTGCGAGAGTCTGGATCTTCACTGTAGCTGAGTAATGTGAAAAGAAACCTGTTGCTTCAATACCTGGGTTACGAGTTGTTGTATCCGGCTCTGATATGTCCAACCTCGAATTTTTATCAATCTCAAGTAGATTTACAGTACCGTTGAATCTCACAGTCCCATACCTGTTCTGGATAGAGAATTCTTTGATGCTTTTAAGCATTGCAGGTTCCTTCTCCTTCAAAACCTGTGTTGATGGGAAGATAATATAGCCTGAATTCTCTAATTTAGCCAAAACAGACCCCATTATCCTCTTGGCATGCTTACTAGAAACAGCCTTCTTTGAGCTCTTTGAGCCCTTAGCATCTCTCATTCTGGAGTCAGTCTTAAGATTGGAAGGAGGAGGAGCAATAATGCTTGCAAAAATGCTAGCATTTTTGCGATCTTTTTCCTCTTTCTCTTTCTCTAACCTTTCCTTCTCCTCCTGAGTCAAAGATGCCTTTGAATTTGTGAAAGGCGATTTAGAGTTGACTTCTTGGGAATCAGAAACTTCAGTTTCTTTCGCCTCCTCTTGAGATACTTCAGTGGCTGTTTCCTCAATCTTGTTTTCCTGAGGTTTAGTAAATTGCTGCTGTATCCCGTTCCCTGCAGCAAGATCGGTAAAATCAAACATATGCTGTTGAGGAACATCTGGTTCAGAGCCGAAGGCTTCTTGGACCCTTAGGTCTCCATACAATTTTGCTAACTCTAAGATGGTCTTCAGTCTGGCTTGTTTGAAGTTGTGTTCCTCTATTTTTCTAGCAATATCTTCCATTTCAAGAAAATTCAATATAATTTATCAGATTTGGGGTTTTGGGGTTTTGGGGTTTTGGGGTTTGGGGTTTTGGGGTTTTGGGGT